CTATTGAGATGACGTTAATTATTACACTTGTTCAACTAAAAGGTAAAATTTCGATGCAGGCCAGGTGATACACTTACGCACAGCTTTCCTTTTTTTATAATATTCAAAAATAACTTTCTACGTAATACAAAATTTTAACCGACATACAAAATTGGTTTTTTTACTCCGTTTACACCGAATGGTATATCAATAAAAAATAATTCTGACTTTTAACATATTATTCGTACCGTGTTCTAAACACTACATAGGTACATAAAATGTTTGATTGTTTGATTCTTATTTCTATAGAGTCTATAATACGAGTTTTGTAGAAAAAAGTTTGACTTATATACCATAAGTGTTTTTTTTTTAATTTGTAGCTCACTCCAATTTGATACTAATAATGTGTCATACTATGTGTGGGTAGGTTGGTATAAATTTGAATGTGAATGTGAGTATTAGTATTTTATTTTTCCTTGATATTTACTGAATCGGATGCGTTTAAACAAATAATCGTCAATTATACTTAAACTATAAAAAATACACATTATTTTATTACAGAGGTGTTTGTAGTAGTATGACGTGAACTTAAAAAATGTTGCGAAAAATTCTTCAATTAATCGTTTGGCAGTTAATAATATTATGAAAACACACCAAAATTCTAATAGCTATAATAACGTTTGTAAAATACCCTGAAGTCACAGGGACGCGAATGGTAATATCGGGTTCGTGATAAGTATAGCTACTGTCCAATTACGAGCGTTTCGAAAGTTTCGTACGCGATACGAATAGTAAATCAACCTGGATTCACCATTTTCAGAGATATACACTACTGGTTTCCACGATATACCTACAGCGAATGCAAAAAAAGGGTGTCGTAGACAATATCATTATCGTAGGCAGCTAATAATATTATAGACTTGAACGCGTAATATTAAATAACATTTCGTAATCATTATAAATTTACTACCATTGTCATACACCGTTTATTTATCCATAAACTATTAAACAGTTAAAGGCGTGCTGAGTGTCCTGGCTATATATTATTATTATCGTCATTATGTAGCTGTTTTATATTAATATATTTTATTCTTTATTATTTATAACAAATAGCGCACAATTAAACGATTATTATTATGGTGAATGGAGACATACGATAGACGATAGTAGAGTGTATTTCTCGATACACTCTATATACTTCTGGGTATATAATATATTAAATTGTATTAATTTTTTTTTTTAGATTCACAAATGATACTATTTATTTGATTCGATTTTTAATTTGTTATCAATTTTAAAGTCATTTAGTAAACGAATAACAGCAGATATACGACTATATTAAAACAGTCATGACTCATCGTGAATTTTTCGTTGCCATTATAAAACGTCATGAAAAGTGTAATAATTAATATAATCAGTGCAATGATTATTTTAGGATGATGAAAATAATAATTCTAAAGAAGGTTTTTCTTCTAATAATATATTTTTATCAATAAACTATTCAAAAAAACCTGAAATTTATAACCGTAACGATGTTCTCATTAATTATATGGTAGGTACAAAACATTCTATTGTTTTCAAAATTAAATTACAATATTAAATTATTACCTAAGTATATCATGCTTCCACATCATTCAATAATATTACTTTATAAGACTATAATATTATGCGTTTTAAACATTCACATGCCGAGGAAAAAAAAACTAACATTTCAAAAACATTACTTCGATGGTTAGACACCTATTTCAAACTATCGCAAAATCATGTAGTGATTACCTATTTAATTTATATTATATTTAAATTATTATTATATATTATTTTGTTAGAATTTATTTATATTTACAATCAATTTATAACACGCCATATCATCGCTGTTTGAAGTTCAGCCTTCAAAATACGAATATACTCGTTTACATTTTTGAAAAATAACACGGTCATCGCACTATACCTACTTTTCTATGAAAATAATTAATTTTACTTCTTAAATCATCGTTATTATTATTACCATACATAATTCAGTCGGTTCGACGGAAATGCGTGCGTATACTTTTCTGTTAAAACACGTTTTCCAAAGTACGTATAGTGCATGTAAAAAAATATTATGTACCTATATTGGTGGTTGAAAGATGAATTGGCGCGAAGAGGACTCGGTTATTAGCGAACACAAGTCACCTCTGACCCACCGACATTTTGTCGGCAACAGACAAATGACTTACTCTCCACTTTCTAACAGCACGCGTATATAATACACGAATGGGCGCGGGTGACCATCTTATAATACGCATCGCTAGTTTATACATGCGCCGTACGTTCACACTCGCATTGTGACCGTGTGTCATCATAATAGGTATATATTATAATATGCTACACGATTTGTTAATTGTTAACACGAAAACAATAGCTTGGTCGGGCAGCTATTAAATACGATGTACGAATGCCTCCCACCTCCACTCACCATCACCGACACTGACACCGACACACACAAGTTGCAGGTCGATCCATATATTCATCTAACGATGATCTACTGCCCCGTCACAATACTCGCCAATCGCTTATGTTCCATAAGGAACAGTGCCATATAATATTTACGAATAATATTGTTTATTTCGGATATTTTACTAATATACAATTGAATGATAGTTGTGTATAAGAACTACGACGACGGTCATTATAACTGGTCGTTATAAACTTGGTTTTAATTTAAATTTTCGATCCAGATGATTTATTCTAAAGGCTCAAGTGATATGATCTATTGATGCAAAATATTTGTTTCTAATAGTGATTTAAATGGAGATAAGAAATAAAGTGGATAAGAAATATACGAAAAATTGCAATGACAATACTATGATATGTGTTTAAATGAATTAAAACAATTATGCAGATCACTCGATGATGAGTGGTAGCAACAGGTAGTTTAAAGTCTTAAAGATAATAAATTTATCTTTTGCATGTACTATAGACCAAACAAAAATAAATTATATGGATATACAGACTCATAAAAATATGCTCAACTTCCTCGACAAAAAATAAGAACATAAAAAACTCATGACAAAAGTTATAAAATCTTAAATTTCTCACTAAACAAATCTGCCGATTATTAGAATCAGTTGATATTTTCTGCGAGTATACAACAAATACAAAATATAGGTAGGTACTAGCAAAATCGTCGATCGTTATTATTATATTTTACAAAAGCCTGCGAGAAAATATCATATTTTATAAACTCACAATGTAATTTGAGTTCAACACTTTGCATGTACAAAATTGAATTTCTAGTTTTTTTTTCATGAACCTACCTACATACTCGTACATATCACAATACAGCTGCTCGAAAGTCTCGATTGCGTTTCGAGTCGAAGAAAATCATTGGTCTGTATGCCTGAGACTTTGTTTCACTGCTGACCAGCAGAGGAGGCGTATAAACAATAACAATAACAATATATATATTAGATACTTACTAGTATAGGTTTACTTGCAATTGTATACGAACAAACGTCGGCACAAGCGATGACAAGTTAATATATGTTTAATTGTTCGTTCGCGTATATCATTGTTTTATTTGTGAGTTGTATGTTATTTTTTTTCCATCTCGAACGATGTCATCTATATTTCCCACACAACACGAGTCGTTTGACGTGTCCATAACGTGTGTCATGTTTCGTTTCTTTCCCCATCGCACATACACGCACGCGCGCACACACACACACACACACACACACACACACACACACACACACACACACACAACCACCACCACCATCATAACTCACCCTCTTGACAAGTTTTTACTCTAACTACATAATAAAACTGTCATCGACACATACCGCGAACGAGCTTTAATGCTTTCACGAATGTTATTTTTTCGATGCGTGAGCGCGATTCTCCTTATATGTAAATGAAACCGTCCGACGGTTTTTATTTATTACATTTTAATTTTTATTTTCATACATCCATCCACCCCCTACTATATATAGGGAACGTTTATTAAACAAAACACGTGCAGCGTCTACGTCGGAACGTTGAGGCGCCTATTATAGTATTAACGCAATCGCGTCTTGATAATCACTGGGTATAGGTGTCCAACACATCGCCTCCAGGCCGAGGAACGTTTTGGCTCGTGACACGATTTCGAACAGCTATATAGCAGCCGCAGACTACGACGTAGTCGGATAAAACGCAGTTGATGTTTTTTTTAAATATTTTAATATTTAAATTTAACAACACGAAACCCGTAAAAATCTTGTGATATTTAGTATTATATATTTTATAAGAATTCAATAGTCAATCATATTATATTCTGTTTCCCCCCTATATCGTTTATCTTTATTAGAATAAATGTGTAAGCGACATTTATACAATAGATGTATTTTTAAAAAAAAAACAATTATTATTCTTTCTATATATGTCTCATTAATTTAAAAGTATACGCATTTAGTTTTAAGTACAATTTAAAAATTAATTATACTCAGACACACTTTTCTATCATACAACCATGTGGAAATTAACATTTGCTGTCGTTCCTCATCCCTAGATAATATGTCTTATTCGAGTTTCTCAAGACCATAACCTAAATATTACTAATAAATAATCTATGTAACGATGATTCAAAGTGACGAAATTAATAATAACCTCGGCTATGATTTTAACTGCGTAGATCATCTAGACGCGGTGCATAAGACATTCACACTACAGCTGTCTAAGGAAAACCATCAACATTTGTCTTAAATAAATTATTTTAATTGAAAGATATATTATGTAATATACTACGACAAAATCTCGATTATCCAAAAGTTCGAGGGAAAAATTATGTATTTACACTTCAGTTATTGAAAGTGCTTAAAAAAATAAAAATCAACCAATATTATTACGTATCATATTATTGCAAGTACCTAAAGTGTTTCTTGTAAAACTTCGATGGGATTTAAATATAATATTGTTTTTTAGTTGAATTTCATCTTATTTCAGTTTAAACCACCTGCAGGTTCGATAGTATAGGTTTTTTTTTGAAAAACTAGTCTTACCTTGTTGAGTATTCCGCGCTTAAAGTTTTCTCTGCTGTATTTGCCGTTCACGCTCTCCAACTCCAGATGTTGAGCACACTTCCTTAACATTGACGCCCTCTCTCGTTCCTTGATGCTTTCCATTTCCATAGCTGACATATTTGGTGGTTTCCGCGTAAGTTCCACGTCTACCAGACCGTCTGCCGATGTCGGTACTTGGCTTAAGGTTCGGCCACTCGGACAACTTGGTTCCGTGTCGTCGTTGCGCGTGTATTTGTTCGCTTGAGGGTCTATGTCCCACGCAACGGACATGTCTCTAAGTCGACCCAACGACTTACGCCTGGTAGCTGTGTCGTCGTCACCGCGTACCGAGTTTTGTTGTTCCATGATGATTTCGGTATAGTTTTCAGTGCCTATGCATGTCTGAAAAATAAATTTAGACAATATTTAAAGTAAAAACGTGTAAGTACATTAAATTCGTATATAATAATATGATTAGTAATATATTATAATATTTTGATAGAAACTAAATCCATTAATAATAAAAATATAAGTAATAATTTGTATTGTTTGCGGTGTATTCTATAAATATTTAAATTATTCAAGGGCAGATAATATAATATACGACTTGTACAAAATACCTCAATATATTTATTGAAATTATTAACCATTAAGTGTTTTGTGAGTCATTGAGGTGAAAGTAAAAATAATATAGATTTATGTTGTTTCAAACTGTAAATCATCGAAGTATAATATTATTAGACTATAATATATTATATGCACGTTAATAAAATACAAAAAATTAACTCCTGGCCTCCACTCCTTACCAAAAGATGACATGGAGTCATAATGAACAGACCGAGAATCGAGCATACGTGGCTTACACATTGCTTCCTCGTGAAACGCGAAGAACCTATCCAATATGTATTATGCCTGCGGAGAAGCTCTAACTGTCAAACACGTAGTCCTTCTACACCGCCACAATAATTAAGCAATCAGAACTTCATTAAACATACCTGGGCACCTATATGAAACACTTGGATCCGATTATAAAAATTCCAACAAAATTTTAACTTTTCTAAAAAGAACCAAACTTTATAGGTAACATTATATAATTGTATAAGTCAATTTTACAATTTTTCTTTTTCTTCATTGTACATACTAAGATTAATCTTATTTTAACATTTAAAATTCTATATAGTATTCGAATATAACAGTAATTTTGTAAATATGTAAACTAATAACCTTAGTTGTCGAGGCTTTATAGTAATAAAAAAACACAAAAAAAACCGGTAAAAAATGATTATAATTTAGTAGCTATAATTTAATCAATTATTATTTTATCTTAAAACTATTACAGTCATACATCTCTTTTTAATTCAACGCGTTTATTGGAAAGTGTTATGAAATTGTTGTATACTCATATAATACTATCCTCTTTGTAATGAATATATATAGGCATAAGACTGCATCCTGCAGCATGCTATAAATTATGATATTTTTTAAATATGTTACCACATCGATTTGTAATATTTTATACCGAATGAAATCGTTTTATTTTGAGAGGAAGTCTGCAGTTTATTACATTCATCTATCATCAATTATGATTTAGCACCAACGTTTTCAGAACCAAACGGTAAGTTTCTAGGTGCGTATATCAATTCTTATTACCCGTTGACCGGTTAGGATTTCGTGAGTAGCCCGCCCAATCGATTTTTTTCTATTTACATTGTTCGAACAAACATACACATCATTTCGCTGTCAGATTGATCTCTCATACGGTATCCAAAACGGCACAGCAGTTGGTCGGTCGGTCGGTATTATTATTATTACTATTTTATATATAATGTTGATTGATCGGCGATTAAAATGGTGTAGGTACTTTATCGATCCCGTCGCCGTAACAAGATCAGTTCCGTTGGTTTGTACATGCATGTTTTCTTCAGGTCAAAAACGATGTCGTGTGTCTTAAGCGACCGGCCATAAGTCTCGAAAAAGATAAACGTTTGTATTGTAGTCACACAAGTCACGAATCACTGGTACTTATATTTACAGTAAATAATGACGCTAAAAATAAATGCTTGTACTGCTGCAGCCGAGATTGACGTATGACAGCGATTTTGTACCTCCAGACTCAAAAGAAATTAAAAATCTCATGTTGTAAATATTTCAAACGTTTGTATATGGACAAGCTTTAAGGCTAAAACGTTTTTCTATTCGTTTAAAAATTGAACGCAAGTCACAAAACATTTAAGTCACAAACAAAAAAATAATAAACACTAAACATTATAATAATACCTACTGGATTTATAAATTAAACCAAAATTATCTACTTGTGAAGTATGCGATTTTGTGAACAATACATTTGTTTTATACCTATATACATCTTTAATTTGAAAAAAAAAATATTTATATTTGTAAATATTAAATAATGATTCAAAAATGGGTTGAAACGAAGAAACAGCTACAAACATGTAATGATAAATTATTATCATCATCGATCTTTCGCTATTTTATAAGACCTTAGAACATTATCCCCACGTTCCATAAAATATCTTTAAGTATATTTTGTAATAGGCTACTATTTCCTATCAATAATAAGCCTCACTTCAGTTATAGTAAAATTTATTTTATAAGTGAAATAGTTGGATTCTTTATATACACTTAAACAACAAGCAGTAATAAGTATACAAGGTGGATTTCATAGAGATCGTAATATTTAAAACCAATGACGTTGAACAATTTTAAAACGTTTTCCTTGTAAAACAAAAGTTGTATATTTTATAACATAAAAAACCAGTGTCTGACGACCAACGATACTATAGCTCGTTTGCATACACAGGTAGGTAGCTAAAACCAATATTATAATAATTTCACTTGCGCATATTTATTTATTTTCTACACGAATGTTCTAAGCTTATAAATATTTCTTTGTACACATCTATATACATGAAAGCTTATTATATCGAAATAAATATAATGATATATTACAGGAAGATAAGTGGGTAAAATAAAGTTTTAACATATAATTACTATACATTTCTATTGATGCCTATATTAGACATTGGTGTACATATTATTATAATACATTTTAAAATCTATTTACATAATAAATAATGTATGCATATTATAATACCTTCCTATGTATCATATAAAAAGATATAATAAATAATACAAAGTAATAGTTTTTAAGAATACAAAATTATGTATTGCTTTTGTTTTCAGAGTCAAATTTAATAAGCAGCATTGCTAGAATTCAATATTTTAATTTTTAATTATACTGTTGTTATTCATAAAAATGTACTTATTTAAGTGAATAAAATCGTTTGTTGAACACAGGGCTACAACTTGGGTCTGTCATATTTTAATTTACTTGAGCCTGGACAAACATTTTTTGTACCTATACATGAAATGAGAAAAATCTTATTACTCCTACAGTCCTACAGGCGATCAGCCACCAGTTTTAACTTTATATTTTTTCGTACCTGGAATATCATTACAATGGTTAGCACTCTCACGATTTTATGAGGAAAAAATAACTCAAAAGAACAAATCCGAATGATAACTCAAAAAATTTTCAAATGTGATAAAAAAAATTATACAGAGGAAACAGCAAAACAATAAACCTACAATCCGTATTGAATATTGTTAATTTCATGACTCATTCAAGTAAACTTAATTATTTTATCATTTATCAAAACAATATTGCAGTTTTTCAGAAATATATTATAAAAAACAATATTTTAACACAAATTATTGAAGTTTAATTCCGAGAAAATTCAAAATTGGTCGTCCCTAAAACATTTTATCCGGGACACTAAATTGAAAACCGGTACAGTCCCTGCCAAACCGGAAAGTATGACAACTCTAAGCTAATATGTTATTTTTCCAAAAATAAATTAACTTATTTATCACCTTTAAATTAAATACCAACGTTAGATATGTTGAATATATTATTTTTTATTAAAAACGTGCAATTACGTATTAAATATTATAATTATTATTAAGTTTTTCTCAAAAACACAAATTTAAAAATAAGTATTTTTTGCTTAAATCACATATTTTATTAATTTACCTAAAACATTGAACTGTTTTTTTTATTTTAAAGTGTTCCTGACAAGATCATCTAACTTATTGATTACGTTTTACATTTTTTAACAGTTTAACAGATGATAGTAGTGCATAATTACTCACAAATGATTTACAACATTACAAGAAACTACATCGATAAATATATAAATGGTACAGTAGAATAAAATAATAGTATACATTTTATAAGTAAATTAAATTTTTTTTTTTTTAATTTATTGTTGTTGATATAGGGCGGCATCATTCGGGGACGTCCACACTTGAGCCGCCAGAGAGTTGGCTTGTCACTGAGTTTGAAGTATTTCGCGACAACATTGTACAACTATTACAATTATATACACAGCTATTGTAATCTTTTTTCCGTAAATAAATTAATAAATAAAAATATATTTTAGTAATATATATATTTTTACATTTCGTACATTCATACCTACCGAATTCTATAATTATAATAAAATTATACTTCAAGATTTTTAACAGCTAGAAAATAAATTCGAAAAAATAGTTATAGTCTATAATAGATACTATACTCGCTTGTTTGTAAATTATAAAACATTTGAAAAGCACAAACATATTATTATTAGGTACTTGTAACCGTATACTTTATTTGAGACTGTACTACTAACCCCCGGCCAGTATCATTTGCATAATGCTGCAGTACCATATAATAGCAGGTACCTAACTGTTAGTATTTTTTATTTTTTCATATTTCATATTTTTTTTATAACCGAGTTGTTTTTTATGATTCTATTTCACGCGAAACCAATTGATATAAACCAGTTGAATAATATTGTACACTGCAATTTGTGCAGTGTGCAGCGGCGCGCTCTGCTGCAATGGACAAATTAGCCTCATTTGTTCTTCCTCCGAGAGTCACACGTGTACCTATATGAATCATTAACTTCAGCAGGACAGCAGGCCGCATTATTAAAATAATCATAATATTATTACATATTTATAAGGAAAAAAAATCTACAATAAACAGACAGGTACGTAAATATTATATGTCCGGGCACGTTGGTATAATGTTTACACTTGACCACGTTATTGTGTCGTGACCGGCTAAATAAGCAATTTAAAGAAACCGCGATCCGGGCTGCGGCTATATATATTATCTATGTATAGCTCGCAGACCAATCGAGTTCGATTATAATATGTCTTTATGAATCAAAAAAGAGAAGAGAAAAAAACATTTGCACAATAATATTATTTATTGTAATTAATTAACGAAAAGTTGCAGAGCTTGTTCATATACCTACTTATAACATCGTACTGCAGTCGACATTTGATATAAATATTATTATACAGTCATTGTGTCAAGATAATACTCAAATTGAATCGGACGGGCGCTAGTATTAACTTAGGTCAGCACTTTGCCGCAGCAGCAGTAGCACAAGTGTTTCGTTGCTATATAATAATATTGTGCGATATTTATTACAGTCTTTCATCGGACAGAATCGATAATCAATCATATCATTATTTCTCTGACTGTATATTATAAAAAATAATACAGATAATAATAATAATAATGAATAACAGAAAAAACAGACAGACAGACGTACTTAAGTATATCATATAGTTAGCTATTAATTTTCGCGCAAATAGCCGGAGGTCTAATCCATGCCAAGTAAAACAGAAATCATACAAATCGAAAACTGGATCTACATACGGTTATTATATTTTTATGTTCTGGGCAATATTTCTCAATAGTTATGTGTATATTTGTCGAAGAATATTGATTGAGACGTTATGGATATCTTCATAATATTTTCCAAACCATATTTTACTGTCAAACAATAGAAATAACAAGTTTGATTATCGATACCTATTGGCTATTTGTATTACTATATACTAGAAAGAACGCAGTGGCGTTCATGATTTTTAAATATAGTTTCTTTTTACATAACGCAATCACGTTTTAAAAAACATCCGACCGAATATTCATACGACCCAAGAAGTCGAGAGCAATAAAATGGTATAGGTAGGTATTAAATACCTACTACTTCTGTACTGTTGGGCTCATTCTGTTATTAATCAACAAATAATATCACATATTATTATTATAGGAAAGTAATATTATGTGAACAAAAATATTTTGGGTATTTAATATTACCTACTTATAAGTAATATCTAGATAGGCGAAGTTATACAGAAATTAACATGCATATTAACACACACTAGATTATAACTACCAAAATAATATATTGATTTAATGCTTTCAAGTTGTAAGCAATAATGTTATAAATTAAAGTACAGAAAATGTGCTGAACATTTTTAAATCGATGATAATTTACGTAGTTTTGAATAATATATTAAATTCTGCGTACAATAAAATTTATAATATAAATCTAGATATGTGGTATACTGCATACATATTTTCAAATCACCAATTTTGGTACACTAATAAAATATAATGAGGTATAATCAAAGAATATATTAACTATATTATATTATTTCCTTGCGATTTAATTTCTCCGACAGGAAATAAAACATCAACAATTTCTAATTTTTTTTCATATAAATATTTTTATTATTAGGTATTTAAAAAATGTATCAATTGATAGAAAGGTACGTTGTACAATGTTCATGGATAATTATGTTATTCCTTTGATCGTTATAATATTTTATACCTATGTATACAAATGGTTTTGTCAATGGTATAATTATTGTACATCAATAAATTAAGGTTAAATAACTTTATCAATTAAAAACTAATTTTTTATTTTTAATATTTTTAATTTAACTATCAACATTACATTGCGTTATTAGGAATAGTTTTTTTATTACCTAACAATAGTTGTAGTTAATATTACTAAGTTATACCCCGTTACGATGTATATGTATGTATATTTTTTTTCTTAATATAATTTTAATTAAATAATTTTGTTTATTTCATGTTTGATTTATTAGATATTAAGTTGCAAACTATTAATTCTTTTAACTGTTGTTCAGCTGTTAATATTTATATTTATACTTGTTATCAGTCTCTCATATAATAATAGAAGTAGCTGATAATGAGTAACTATATTATTTTAAGATTAAAACAATTCAACGATTGTATTGTATGAACAATATTTAAAAAAGGTATGACCAGACTTTTGTCACTTATCTACATTAAATAAAATATGATTAATATTTATTGATAAAGTTTTATACATTTAGGTGTAAAATATATATTCATCGGTTATAATCAATAAAAGCTTACATTATGATGAATTTAAAATACATATATAGTAAAGACATGTTTATAGACATGCCTTCCAACTATAAAAACACTGCATGATATTAATTGAAAATAGTTTATATTAATAAACCTTTCTTGAATCATTTAAAAAAATTATCAAAACAGTTTATCAATACAAAAAAACAACAATCAATAATGTACCTACTTATTTCGATTTTTGTAATAGTTAAGTATTAATTAATTATGGTATCACAAATGTATTGAACTTACCTAAATATTTTATTTTCATACAATATTATATTATAATATAATGCGGTTATTATAACTTGCAACAAACAAAAGCACAACGAAAATTTGGAAATAAATTAGCACTAAAAAAATTAAAATTAAAAAAACGAAACTGTTAATTTCCCGAAACTGAAAGTAAACCGATAAACTAGACGAACTCGTGTTATTTTGCGTGTCGGGTGACCGGAGCCGACAATTGGTAACTGGAGGTTTAAAACTCGTCTTCTAGATACCCAGCATCCCGCAACAAGGCGGTATCCGTTCCTCTCTCTGCCCCTTCCCTTGTTTGTTTTATCTTATACGTACCTACAACTGCCCATTTGAATATACGATACACATTGCGACTATCTAATGTGTAACAACGATACGTTTAGCTAGTAAAATAAAAACGCACAAGGATTTTAGTGGAAATTATGACAACTCAAGGCAATTTCACTCACCGACGCTGACCAATCAGGCCTTTGGATAACGCCCGTTTCGTTAACATTTTCCCTCTATAATATAACAGTGAACATTTACAAGCCACAGCAACTAATGATAACTATAATAGACATTATTAAAGTATATTACGTTAGGTATCGTTGACTGCTCTTAAATCAATGCAAAAGTTCCGCAATGGAAACATGAACGATTTATGTATATAAATTCGTATATCCTTCGAATGAAGGAACAACAATGTTGACGATAAACATAATAGTGCACTGTATAATATATTATATAAGTAAACTAAAAAAAAATTCTCATTAATAATTTATAGTAAATGTCTTTTATATATATAAATATAGGTACTAAGTATATAACAGTCAACAATTAAGATTTCACATTATTTCTCTATACCTATATTTCTATAATAAAATAAGTTTTTTTAATAAGCTTCCGAATACGCACAATATTTATTTATTATGGAACATCGATATATTATATATATATTGTGTATAAACACTAATAAGTAGCTATTCGTTTAAATAGCTACAAAAAGAAAATCTATATCTCTATGAGATCGAATAGGCCCTACCTATGTGTTTGTACTTTGTAGGTCATTTTCGATGGATTTCATTTTGTTATTAGTTCCGAAAATATCAATAAAACTTGATAAAAGCAAAATTTATGATATTGGTTGATTAGAATCATGTTATACATTTCTTAACGGGTACACCCGATAATGTATTTTCTGGGCATTTTTTTAACTCAACGAAACCATATTATAAATTTAACTTCGTAATATTATAAAATTAATATATATTATAATAACATAATAAGGTTCAAGCAGAGTTATATATTCATTATAATAACCTATTAATATATAGGACCACTAAATAACGTATCAATTAATTTAAAAACGGTTACCATACACATTAATTGACACTTGGTGACAACAAGTTAGAAGATATCTATAAGATTCCGGTTGAGCGATGACAGTGGTGGCCGCTTCCACAAACGGACAAAACCGCATGTTAATACGACCCGTAGGTTCATAAAGTATACTGCGGGAAACGAGAAGCCATCGATGTTTGATACACATACTATATACGTGTGCGGTTTTATTTTTTTATCCACCAGCAAAAAAACCTAACATGTATTACCTATAATGTCGATGGGCAGCGAAAACCAAAGTCATAGCGTAGGTATGCGCGTATTAGGAATCGCGTTCAGATTAATGACGAAAACTATTACGACTAATGTACAAAAATATTATTATTAAGACGTGCAGCACGAATACTAAAAGGATTTATTTAATTTGTTTGTATGTATGCTAATGCGATTTAATTTGTTTATATATATTTATTATCTGAGCTTTTGTAGATATATTTTGTGGCGCAAAAAGCATAACTTTTGAAAACTAAATATGATATCGTTTTAGGTCAATGAAAATATAATTTAATGTCGTACACATTATGCTACTCATTGTTGTATAATACCATAATGTATAAATATACAAATGTCAAATACGATACTACGATGGGTATTAAGAATTACGCATTTAGAATATTGTTATAGTTAATGTGTGTAACGAATATTGTTAACTTGCTGACAGAACTCCATCTTGTTGAAATGATTCCACGAGGAATGTGGATTACACGATGAACAAAATGTACACGTCAGATCATTATCCTAGTTTGCCCATGAAATTGATTCATAATATTATTGGTATTAAAAAGGTTCTAATTAAAAATATAAGTACGAATCCAATTAAGTGGAATTTTTTTGCGCGTGATTTGATTGCTAATTTTTCTAACCTAACTTCAAGAAATACTTTATTTTTTAAGCATGCGCTGCATAGCAGTCTCATAATTATTTCAACAATTAACGCTTTCAAAAAAGACTCTATACGTAGTTTTAATTAGTAGTTGACTCTTCTAAGCATTTATGATTTATTTATGTGTATTTGGTACACAATATAAAAAGTATGTACAAAAAAAAACTATAAATAAAGTGCAAAATATACATGAGCTAAATTTAGAAAAAAATGTATTAATTAAGCTGAAGTAGGTACCCAACTAAAAATCATCAATTTTGTAAAGTAATTTACTGTCAATAAATTAACATTAAAACTAAAAGGCAGCTATGATGATTGTATTATATTCAATAGAACCTTATATAATATACATATTACTCCGATAAATTATTATGAAATTCGACCAACAAGTAGATTAATTTGAATTTCAAATTTGTACCATCGTATAGTGGAAATTAATTATTGGATATATTTGCAAGCGATTTCTTTAAGTTACCCAGACTTTGATATTAAATATTTAATACCATAATATTCTATATTTAGGTACTTTTTATAAACAAAATTCAAAAAACATAATACCTAATTGTATTTTGTTGAACTTCACATTACTGTTTTACAATTAATAAATACAAATAATATTATTTGATCAATAATATTAAATAGGAAAACATCAAAATGATGATAAATCTAAAATATTATAAGTATTAAATAACCTATTAACTAATATTGAAGTTTTCATTAAATTTAATAAAACGATAGTAAGATCTAAAGGATATATTAAAGATTCTGTGCACATACCCAAGAGCTGTGAAAGACACGTAATACAAATACTAACCGGATTCTACATGTCAGTTTTTTTTATAAATCGTGTTTTTTTTATCAACATCTAAAACTCAATGATAAACTTAGACAGTAACTACTAACTGTTCAAGTTATAAAGTTGATTAACAAATTAATACGATTTTACTTATTTAATCAAACCAACCATTTAATAAGTAGGTACTTAGGTAATAAAATATTTTAGTTAACATCTTCATGCCTAAGGTTATCTAGTTATTATAATATTATAATATGATACCACAAAATATTATTATAATTACTTAGTACGTATTCAATTATAGACTTAAAGAATCCAAAAATATTACAAAATGTGTCGAAATATAATAAAGAAAGACGGTTATTGTTAAATGTTAATTATTAATTGAATTGAACTGATTAACAATTCACAAGATATCACACTATAGTGCACATTTCGAAAAATTGGAACTTATAAAAATCGTTATATTATACCTACTCAATAATGCTCACTTCTTATTGTTTTTTAAGTTTTAGGTACATTATTTTGTGGTATTTGAATTTTCAATATCTTCTCTTGTTATTAATATTATAGTAAAATCCTTATAAAGTTAATTGACAAAATACATTATCCATTAATGTATTATCAAACTTCGTAAATTAAAATTATTTCTTGCATTGTTCCCATAAATAAATATTAAAAAAGTAGCTTATCATATTACATTATGGTATGTAATATTATATACTGGTTTTTAATACAATTAGACATTTAGTTAGAATATATTAAAAAAAAATTAGAATCATATGATATTAACTAATTAAAGGATGTGGCAGAAATAACGTATCATTTTTTTTCACAAATATAAAATTATGTGCACGAAAAGAATAACAAGTTAAATAATAAAAAAACAATGTATACAAGTAAACATAAAATATAATACTATTAATATTGAATAGTATTAAGTTTTCAGAAAAATTATCTGGTAAATAAATTAAATTCGAAAATGGGGGCTCTCCTTTGAAAAACAGACGTTTGACTCGCCACCCGACACTCTTTAAGTATTACAAAGAAATTTGAGTATATTCAAAAAACAGAATTTGAATAATTTCATTATTAAATAAAAAAATGGGGATGAACATGCTTGGTGAATTACACTGTATAGTGTATATGTATATTGTAACCAAATCATTATCTTTGTAAAACCTAAAGACCTATACACACAAACATTACCAGAAAATGATATTAGCCGTACCTACTTAACTAGTTTTGTATATTTAACTAAGCTTTGTTATAATAAGGCCAACATGTATATCTATTATGGCTTCAGTTTAAATAATTATAATAAAATATCATACATAAATAATTTAATAAAATAAAATATTTTATAAAAGCAAACATACATTTAGGCATTTAGCTATCCTTTATATATATATATATACTTTTTTAATGGTTGCTATTTAGGTAGTCATGTAAATAGGTATTTAAAATACTTTAGGATTTAGTGTGTATTGATATTTAATGCTATCAGGAACTAAAACTAATAAATTGTAAAACGCTTACTTAAAATTCCGAAAAACTCAAGAAGTTCTATAAATATCAATAACTTTATTAGAAGTGACACAGAATAAATAAATAATTCTATATGGTATTCAACTGTTCATTATATTGAAAAAACTATAGATGTACAACCACGATCAAATAAGTAATGTTAAAAATAAGATAGCTAAACAATTGCTTACGATATTTAGGTACAAATTAAAATATAAGATAACTAAAACAAAAGAATGCCAAATGAGGTGGAATAACAATCGCGTCTAGTGGAGTATAGGAATCGTAAAAAAACCTCAATAGAAGGAACACAAAACGTGAAGAAAAAATGTACTCGTAGTTTACATGCGAGTAAGGTGTAACCATGTAAAATACTTGATGTTAAATCGTTATTTTTAATCGACAACAAGCCACGCATGTAACCTGTAACCACTGAAAGTCTGCCACCTATTATAATTGCGCTGTCGCAAGTGCACTCTTTTTTAACTACCACAAAATCGTAAATACCTTTGCCTAATTTTAAGTTGTAAGTATCTACTGTCAAGTGTAAGAAGTATACAACAATACTAAATATATTGTTTCTATAATATACGATTCAATAATTAATAACGAAAGCAAACAATTGTGAATAATAAATA